AGCGGGAACCAACCGAGGGGGCCCTTGGCCGCTGTATTACATGAGGGTTCGTGCGGTCGTCACTGATGAGGGCATAGACCTGGGGTAGGGTAATAGGCCCGACCTATACGTCCTACCTAAGGTCCTTGTCTTAGAAGCAAAGAAGTTCAAGAGTAAACAGGGAGGACCCAATAAAGGTGTCGAGTGCAATCCACTCGACCTACCATTCAATCGGAGACTCCTTCTTATTTGAGTCAGTCGACTACTCAACCATTCGACCATGTAAAAGACCACTCGACGTACAAGAAGACCTAAAGCCGCTCTGCGCAGCAACGGTCGGGCATTTACTCGTATATTTAATGATCATTTGTAGCACTTTATTATAGATGTTACCTATAACGCTCTCTCTTTATGAATATTGAACTCAGTGTAACGGAGGGGAGCTGGGGTCCTGGCGCACTCTATATAAGCCACCCCCCTCCTCTGAGACAAGGGTTTGCACCCCTGTAACTCACACGCATATAATCAGTCGACCGCCTCCGGGCTCCGAGACGTAGGGTTGTTACTTCCTCTGAGAAGGGCCGATGAAACTCTGTACGGCCTGTACTCGTAAAACTTGCGTGTACAACTCCTCCATAGCTAGGATCTTGCCTCTACATCCCTACCCCCATTCTACTGTCAGACTTAGAACCACGACAGTTGGCGCCCACCGTGGGGCCGGTGTCTTAGCAGTTTATTGGAGAAGTTGCGATTCTTCCGATTCCCATCATCATGGTTTCCGGCGGAGGATTGGCTGAAGGCCGCGAGATCCGTCTCGGCACGCTCATCTTCATCGCCGATGACTCCGCTTGGCTTCACGAAGCTCCACTCGACGTCGAGGCGCTCCCCGTCTGTGGGGCGACGCACTTCCGCGCGTGCGTTCGCAGCGTCCTTCTTCGACAACCGTCGACTCCGTATCAGTCGACTCCTGTGGCAACCTCGCTCTCAGTTATTCGCCGGCGCCAGCGATCCGGTCGGTCGCGGCTTCAGCGGTGGGTGAGGCACGCGGTGGCCCGCCAAT